AGGTGCCTGTAATCCCAGCTACTCAGAAGGCTGAGGCAGGAGAATTACTTGAAACCAGGAAGCAGAGGTTGCAGTGAGCCAAGATTATGCCACTACACTCCAGCCTGGGTGACAGAGTGAGGCTCCATCTCAATAAAAAAAAAAAAAAAAAAAAGAAAGTTCAGGATATTATAAGAGACTTGGGCAAAGTGACAGCTTCATTTTCCTGCCCCTTTACTCCCTCCTTGAAGTTCAGAGTCCATCAGTTTCTTTGGTAAAGCCTAACTGGATCCATACGAGGGTAACCCCCACCCTAGGTCTCAGTACACAGGCCCCTCCAAACCTTGTGGGCTGCCCAATCCATCCAACCCTTGGCATTGGGATCAATGTTGATGAGGACAAGACCTTCCACTGTGTCTGGGTGGTTAAGCTGAGGGGCAGCAGAAAGAAGGAAATGAGAAGCAGGCCATGGTCCTCCCCACCAAGCTCTACCCACTCTTGAACTCCCACAGGGCCTGACTCCCCACCCCATGCCCACTTCCTCCCCCAAACAGCACTAATAAACAGATTTTCCTAATCAGCGTGGACCCTCATTTCCCTCGTCTGGGCTTTTTATTTCTTACAGCATATCTCGATAGGATGTAGGCCCCTGCTCCAACACCAATTCCAATTATTGTAGAGAAACTGTAAAGAGAAAGAAATACACGCCTCATAGGCTCTGCTGTCAAAACCCTGCCACAGTCCATCCCTTCAAACTCTTCGTCCTCCCTCCTGAGTCCATGGGCACAAAAGGGCAGACATGGACCTTTCTTTGGAGGATGTGAAAAAGAAGAGCCCAAGGAGTTAAAGGCTGGCATGGGTAGTCAGGGTAGATCCCTGAAGTCTATCCCCAGCTTTCTCCTAGAGAGCTATTGTCTTAAAAACAAACACCCATATACTAGCCAACCAACACACTGTTTTTCTACATAGATAGCTCTTTGTGTATTCTCAATTTCCAAGAGCTAGTTCAACTTGTTTTGCTTTAGTTCCTGGTTCCTCTAGAGAAACGGGAAGAATGAAACTTAAGCAAATGTGAAAACAGACACGACTTTAGTGAAGAACCAAGAGAATAAGGAAAAGAGCGGCAAAGAGGTGAACCGAGGTGCTGAGCCCTGCTGCCTAGAAGCCAAGCTAAGAACAGCACCCACGGGTAGGCACCTTCCTCTGAATACCAAAGACACCTGGTCTGGCGTTCTCTTCCTTCCCTCACTCTCTCTCACCCACAGAGCTCCCCATCCACCAGGTGTGGGCATGAAGGAGGGGGCAGTGGGAGGGAAAGAGACAGGTCTATCTGGTTCCTCAGGGATTATGTCACCCCCTTCTGTTCCTCCCTAGCTTTCTGAACAGAGAAGGCCCTCTTCAGCCTGAGGAAGGGCCAAGCATGGACCCTTTTCCTTCCCTCCATCCACTGGGGCTACTCTGTGACTGTGGCCAATTCTCCAAACCCACCACCTTTTCTTTCAATAATCAAGGTGGGATCATGAAGGAAGAGGATATATTGAAGTCAGAAGCCAAAACTGGCTCAGGAACCATGGTGAACCTGCGAGTTCTAGGGGTCTCCTTGTGCTGGAAAGAGAACTCTGGTTTGGAGGGGTTCCCAGGCCTCTCACTTTAGGTACTGCAGGATGCAAGGGATCATGTCTGCGAGCTGGTCCAGAGATGGGTACTGATATCTGGAAAAGAGAGGCATGTTAAGGAAGATGCCAGCCTGCCATCACATCCTCCACCTTTGAATGTCCTACTCATTCTCTCCCGGAATCACCACTGCCCTCCCTTTCCTCCTCCCCAATCTAACCTTCCCCTGTGCCTCACAGTCTGGTGAAGCGGTAAAGAGCTAAGTCTTACCCCAAAGGGAACACAGCAGCTCCCTCTTCCATTCCAGGAGCATCCACATGAACCCGCACAAAATTCTGAATGATTTCCTGCATGTCCCCAAATTGAAACAGTGGCTGGAAGCAAGATTTATCTAAAGAGAACCCACATCACCCCAACAATAGAATCAGACATGGAAACGTGTCCCCCCATCAGAACTCACCCTTTCTTTCAAGCCACAGTCAGACCAGGAGAGAACTTCTCCTTCCCACTTCTCCCCTCCCTCTGGGTTTCTACCCTTCCCCCCACCCTCTTCCCAGACAGGAGTGGTGATGAATGGAGGTCCTTACAGTTGAGTCCCACATCATGGTAGGTGAGGATCGCTGGGCGTTTGGGTTTGGGGGTGCCATAGACAGTGAAAGTGACAGAGCCATATGGTGTCTCCACAGAGTGAGTCTGCAGGAAAACAGGGCACCATCAGGTAGGAGCTAAGCTCAGAGGAGACGAGGCCAAAGAAAGAGAAACACCAAGGTCAGGGAGCTGGGGGCGGGCGGGCAAGGGGCAAAAGGGAACAAAGAATTAAAAACGGGATCAGCAAGAATTGAGGAAAACATGACACTGGAAGATGAGTTTGAGGATAAGAAAGAATAATGACGATTAGAGAGAGAAGAGGAGGGGAAGGAAGGAAAGGAGAACGATGGGGAAGGGAAAGGACTAGAATAGAAGGGAAGAAAGTAAAGAAAGAAGAAAGGGCCAAGCAGAGCAGGTCTCTCTACTGGGGAAGATGAGAGCCCCTCCTCCCACCTTGGGACTGCCCCCACACTGTTACCTGTCCCTGGTCCAGGAGGATTCGGGCAGCTAACTCAGCCTCCTAGAGAGACACACACACATACACACAAAAACACACGACCATGTGGCGTCACAGATGGAAAGACAGACAGACAAAGAGAGGCAGGCAAAGAGAAACCAACAGAGACCAAAGACAGAAAGAGATTGACAGAGAGACATGGAAAGAATGAAGGTTAGTGCAGTGACAGGACAAGGGCCTGACTCCCAATTGTAGTGTCTGTGGAGAGCGACTAGGGTAGAGGTGGAGGAAGTGGTGGTGTGGGTTAGAGTAAGATCTGTAGGTTTGGGAAGTCAGAGGCAAGGGGGATGCTTCGAGGTCTGGAATTTAGGCTTGGGAGTCAAAAGTTCTCTGATAACCTTAGCTGCCTCCGGTGTCTGTCCTGGCAAGAGCGGCTTCTCCTCTGTGATCTGCACCTCCTGCAGCTCCGCCATGGTGGCCTGGCAGGATGAAGAAACAACGGGACTGGGAGGGTGTCTCCACACCTCCACATCTCCTCAAACCTCAGGCTTCCTTGTCAGCACGGGAAGATGCAGGGAGCAGAGGGACCCAGGGGTGGAAGACTACTCCAGAACACAGAGGGCCTTTCCTGACCCCAGCTCCGTTTCCAGGCAGATTGGAGGAAACACTGGAAGAGGAATCAGGACACCGCTTCTCTTGATACTCACCATCGCCACTGCCACCCTCAACACCCACACCTCCAGACCCCCTCCCTCCTCTGTCCTGGACCAAAACACCAGGGTGGGGCAGCAGTGTAGCTCAGATTTCCCAGGCTATATTTAGGGGACCACCCCACACTCTCAGGTAGGGAGTGAAACTCGTAGCTCAGTGACTGAGTATTCTAAAGGACAGGGTATCAAAAGACAGGATTGTGAGAGTTCACAATTGAACATGACCTTCAGTTAAAGTCCCAAGGTCGTTAGCTTAAAGGAAAGGGGGCTAAAAAAGACCAAAGCAACATGACCAATGGGGGAGGTGGAGAAGACAACATAAAAGGGACATCTGTCCAACCAACCCAATGCCTCCCTTCCTCCCAAGACTCTTCCTCCCAACTTTGAATAGATTCCCGTTAAGTTCAACATTAGTGGAGCAGGTGAGGAGAAGAGCACCTGGACAGACCTGCACAGGAAAAGCCTGGGGGGCGGGGTCACTTACTGGTCTCCTATTGGCTGGATGCAGTGGGATTAGGGGTCAGGGTTCTCACTCCTTCTGATTCTGGGGTCTGAGAAAACACAGCAATGAGGTGAATGACATGGGAGACAGACCCGGGGTCTTTTAGGGACAGAAAGCCTCAGCCAAGATCCAGTCTGCCAGGGTCACCAACCTCCCGGGGTCACTAACCCTCCCCAATATCTACAAAAAAACACGTCCTCTCTAGGCTCGAACTGGAATCAATACAGGCTGCAGGGGCATCAGTTCAGGCCGCGGGGAGGAGAGAAGGAAGTGCTGATGTGGAGGAAAGAGGGTGGCCGTCTCAGAACCTCCGGATTCGAATCCCTGCTCTGCTACTCCCAGTGTGGCCTTGCCCCAATTAGTTACTACATTTGGCCTCAATTTTCTATCTGAAGGGGGCTAAACGCGGGGGACTAGGGGATCCCCAAAATTTTTGACAGCTCTCCAGTAAGATGAGGGTAGCAGAGCGTGGCTGTTTCCCTCCACCATTTAAAAACAAACAAAAAGCTTGGTGCCGTCGCTTCTTTCCTCTACGCAGTCTCTGTGTAGGTCCCACGAGTGGAGAAAGGGAGAGGAGGGCGGTCCCACAATCTCCTCCCGGTGTCCCCCGACGGCCCGCGAGGGCAAACGCCTTCGGGAAGGGATGAGTGGGACAGAGAGGACTGTTCGGGCCCAGCACCCGGAACCTGTCCCTACGAGTCCCTAGGCTGCCGGTCCGCGTGGAGACACCCTTCAGCGGCCAGTGCCAAGCGCCCCGGACCTTGCACACAACCTCGGGCGCACCCCAAACACGCCCTGCCGCTCGCGGAGCCTCAGCCTTTGTGCGCAGCAGCCAAGCGCCTCTGCCGTGCGGGCCCTTGCCCCCGAGCCGTCAGCTCCAGGGGAACCGGGATCACTCAGCCCACCCGCCCCGCTGGCGCTTTCCAGGCCCAGCGGCCCCTCGCCTGCCCCTCCCCCTACCTGCTGCCGCGGCGGCCGCTTCCACCTTCACTTGCCTTTGACTCTGGCCCGCCCAGACTCCGGATCCCCGCAGACCCGCCCCCGGCCCGCCCCAGCCTCCCCAGCCCGCCCACGGGCACGAGGCTCCCTGCAGACCCGCCCCAGACCCCCTTCACCCCGCCCAGACTGCAGCTCAGGGAGGGGTGGTGCTGGGGCGGGGGGGTTCTGGGGACGGGCGGCTGCATGCTTCCAGGCTCCGCGGAGCTCACCATAACATCCTGCCCCCCCCAACCCCGCGCCGCGCGCATTGGGTCCGTGTGGGGAGTACGGAGATCCCTCAGCCTGGGGAGGGAATCCCTCAGCTGCCCTCAGCACCGCCCTCACCCATGACCTGGATCTGGAATTCGCACTCTGGCTCCTTCCTTCGTCCCCCGACTCAGCAGTGGGAACAGGTAGTGGGGAGACGAAGCCGGGGTACTGACAACCCGAGTTCGAGTCCCCCCTCCCGAACACGGAGAGCTAGTTTAAGGAAGGAGAAGGTGGGCGGGACCGCCGCTGAGGAGGCGGGGGTCTCGCCGGCTGGCAAGGGCAGGTGTGCCGGCGCCGAAAGGGGGCACGGGGGGACGTCGAGGGCGCAGAAGTTCCGACTCCCTAGCCTCCAGAGTCCTGGTACCTCCTCTCTTTGCTGCGTCCCGACGCCTGCTCTCCGGCTGCTCCGGGAGAAGTTGGACAACAAGGAGGGCGGGGGGGGGCGGGGAATGAGGGGGGCCGCTATAAATAGAGGGCGCTCGCAGGCGGGGGTGGGGGAGAGGATGGCCAACGGGGACTCCGGGGTCAAGGCCTCGAGGGGGACAGGGGAGGGGCCGGAGACCCCCAGAGGCTCTGACTCCTGGGTAAACAGGAGCAGGGGCGGAGTTAACCCTGCGGGGGTGGAGTAGGGGCTTGGGGAGAACGCAGTGTCCCGGGCTGGGACCCAAGAGACCCTGTGGCTTCGCCGCTAACCCCTCCCAGTCCGGCCCAGAAAAGGAGACCAGCTCAGACCCGCTGAATCACAATGCCCAGGCGATGTCTTAGGGACTGCCGCGTCCCTCTCGGTGCCTGAGTGGGTACACCACTCCAGACTTCAAACACACACACATACACACCACCCCAGATGAGCTCTCTTTGTGTCCCTCAGACGAAGGCTCCCTGGAATGGGATAATTGATTAGATGATGTGGCTAAGGGAATTCGAAGTTGTTTAGGCAAAAAAGAAACCTTACGGAATTTCTCCTCACCTGCCCCCTTGTAGCTCCCCAGTCCCAGGATCATATCCACCCCATCCCCCTTCAGCCTGGTTCCTGAGTTGCCATTTCGGGGGCTGGGCGCTAGGCCAGTCAGGAACAATGGCCAATGGAACTTGAGCTGCCAACTGCAACACCAGCACCGACTGCCCCCCCAAGACCCCCAAGTTTCCCTGCCCCCTCCTGCCTGGGAACCACCCTCCCACCGCCACCCGCAATACCCCTCCCATCCAAGGAACATCAATGCCCCTTTCATCCCCACTTGGCAGGGTCTACTGGAAAGAGGAGAGGCCAAGAGGGAGGAGGTGACCCAGAGTAGGAGAACTGGTAGGGCTAAAACCCAGCCTTCAACAACCCCAAATCTAAGGAGCCCCCCTACATCCCCCAGTTTGGAGAACCTAACTTTTCCTCTGTTCCTTTCTCCCACTCCCTTTATAACTTTTTCCCCAGAAACTGGCACAGAAGCTGGGCACCCTGGCTCCTCTCCTAGTCCCCTCTTCCCTCTGGATGCCAGTTTAACACTCTCTTGGACAAGAAAAAGCCTGCTGGAATGAGGGTCATAGCCAAAGATGCGCAAGACACGAGAGATCTCACCAGCCCCCAAGGAACTTGGGGAGAAGGAGCGCCTCAAGTGAGGGCTTTTGCCTGCAGGCTTTTCTTTGCGGAAAGTAGTCTTACTTGGAGTGGGGGAGGGAAGGACCTGAAGGTTCCAGCATCTAAATTCGTCTCTGGGTCAGGATGACTCAGGGGGAACCTGATAAGGGGCCCACACAGGGGTGCGGGGCGGGCAGGAGGTGGGAAATTTCCACTGAGATCCATTGGCTTCCTAGACCTAGGGGTCTCACCCAGCCTGCTGCAGGCAGAAGTCAGGCTGGTACCACCCCAAGATAGGGTTCTTCCATGTCAGGGCAGCTCCCAGCCGGGCCAGTGTGTAAGTATCGCAAGGACAAGCTCTCTCTCTAAACTCTTTCTCTTTGGCCAGAGCAGCTTCAAACTATACCTTTGACTAAGCAACAGTTTTAAGTATCTGTTATGTGCAAGCCACTGTGTAGATGAAATTCAAAGTGTGAGTCTGCTCACACCCTCTCTAGATGTTTGTGATGGAGTAGTCAAGAGAAGGTACAAACACAGGACAAGTTAAGAAAAATTATGTACGCAGGGCCTAGTGGCTCATGCCTGTAATCCCAGCCCTTTGGGAGGCCAAGGCAGGCAGATCACAAGGTCAGGAGTTGAAGACCAGCTTGACCAACATAGTGAGACCCATCGCTACTAAAAATACAAATATAAAATATTGGCTGGGCATGGTGGTGCGGGCCTGTAATCCCAGCTACTCAGGAGGCTGAGGCAGGACAATGGTTTGAACCTGGGAGGCAGAGGTTGCAGTGAGCTGAGATCATGCCACTGCACTCCAGCCTGGGTGACATAGCGAGACTCCATCTCAAAAAAAAAAAAAATGTATATATAAAATCAATTATTTGGACAATAAGTCCTATAGCAGTAGTTTCCCACCCTTCTCAAGTGGGAGATCAGAGATTTCCATCCTCACATAATGGTTTTAGTATCTCCTGATGGAGAAAATACAAACTTGAATTCATCAATACTTTGAAGTAAGTTTCTGTCATAACACCTGTAAATGCAGTAATACCTACACATGCAAGGCATATTGTTTACTCAGTTCACACTCACTCTTTATATGTACAGATTCTAGGGCCCTTTGCAAGATTTCAGAAATCCTCACACCAGGAGGCTGTGGCCCACAGTCTAGAAACCGTTATATTACTGTAATTCAGGGAAGGAAAAGGGCTTTGTTCCCAGGGTGAACCACCCAGATGAGAAGTACAACCATGGAATATTTGAGTGGGAGTGAGAGACATTCTATCCAGGCAGAGAGAGAGCATGAAGGACAGTGTAGAGGCAGAAACACCAGGTTACTTTGGAGAACTGAATAGTAGCTTCCCATATGTTATCCCCTAAGACCATAAGGTTAGTGTCATCCTCACTGTACAGATGGGAAAATGGAAACTCAGGAATGCTTAGGGACTTGCCCAAGTCCATTCTGCTAGTAACTGACATATCTAGGATTCATTTCCCCACCAGATCCATTCCACTCCAGGGACTATCTCCTTCCACTACCAGGTAGCCTGTCAAGTGTATAGCATATATGACCCCAGCTGAAGAATAATCTGGTTCTTAGATTTTTTGTTATTTATTTATTTATGTGATGGGGTCTCACTCTGTCAGCCAGGTGGGAGTGCACTGACACAATCCTAGTTCACTGCAGCCTCAAACTCCTATGCTCAAGCAATCCTCCCACTTCAGCCTCCTGAGTAGCTGGGACTATAGGTGCATGCCACCACTACCAACTAATTTTTATTATTTATTTATTTAGAGACAGGATCTCACTTTGTTGCCCAGGCTGGTCTCGAACTCCTGGGCTCAAGCGATTCTCTCACTTTGGCCTCCCAAAGTGCTGGAATGACAGGCATGAGCTACCATGCCCCATCCAAGAATAATGTTGATGAGAGGTGGGTGACGTTTGGTAAGGTAGATTGGGGCCTAGTCGTTGTACAGGTCCTTGACTGCTAAGCAAAAAGATTTGGCAATGAGAAGCTGTAGTATATCTTAAGACATAGAATATTCTTGAGCAGGAGTAATAAAAAATACTTTTTTGTGAAAAATTAATCTGACGGGGAGGAGGTAATAGAGATGGATTATGGGCGAATGGGAGTGAAGAATTAGATTTAGGAAAGAGATAATTTAGAAGCCAGAGTAGTCATCCAGATATGAGATGATAAGAACTGAAATAAGGGTGGAAGTAATAGGAATAGAAAGAAGGGAATAGATTTGTAAGACAAAGAAAAAAATAGGTTGGGAAAAGGAGGAGAGTCACCAGTCTTGTTCTGTTTTAGAATCCCTGAGGTTCAGCTATCTGTAGGGCTTCTGGCCAGAGAAAAGGCCAAAGAGAGAAAACCCTGAGGAACATCTCTGACCTGCATAGAAATTTATCTGAAGATTTTCAGAGTCTGAGCCTCACCCTCAGTCTGACCCAGTTTTATTCTGACCTGTCCACATCTGTTACACTCCAAGGCCTACTGGGCCCAACATTGGAAGCCATTTAAAGTTTCCATTGAGTCTGGCCTTTTAAAGCCGGTGGGTTTCTCCATGCTGGTCACTATACATGGGCCTGGAGACTGGGAAAAAAATACCAACCTGTTTTCATTAACTGCTATGGTCTGAATGTTTATGTTTTCCCAAAATTCATATAGTAAAATCCTGACTCCCAGCTGGGTACAGTGACTCACTCACAGGTGACCTGTAATCCCAGCACTTTGGGAGGCCGAGGCGGGTGGATCACAAGGTCAAAAGATCGAGACCATCCTGGTCAACATGGTGAAACCCCGTCTCTACTAAAAATACAAAAAATTAGCTGGGCATGGTGGCATGTGCCTGTAATCCCAGCTACTCAGGAGGCTGAGGCAGGAGAATTGCCTGAACCCAGGAGGCGGAGGTTGCGTGAGCCGAGATGGCACCATCGCACTCCAGCCTGGGTAACAAGAGCGAAACTCCGTCTCAAAAAAAAAAAAAAAAATTAGCCAGGCATAGTGGTGGGAGCCTATAATCCCAGCTACTCAGGAGGCATGAGTCCCTTGAACCCTGGGGGTAGAGGTTGCAGTGACCCAAGAGCACGCCACTGCACTCCAGCCTGAGTGACAGACCACAAGACTTTGTCTCAAAATAAATAAATAAATAAATAAATAAAATAAAATCCTAATCCCAAAGGCACTTTGGGTGGTGATCAAGTTTTATGAGGACAGAGCCTTCCTGAATGGAATTCCTTATAAATAGGCCCAAGGGAACTCATTCACCCCTTCCACCATGCAAGGACACAGCAAGAAGGTGCCATCTGTAAACTAGAAAGCAGCCCTCACCAAACACTGAATCTGCCAGCACCTTGATCTTAGACCTCTCAGGCTTCTGAACTGTGAAAAATAAATGTCTATTGTTTATAGGCCACATAGTTTAAGATACTTTGTTATAGAAGCCCAAACAGACTAAAACACCTTCCCTGGGCTCACCTCAGTTTCTGTTGTGGGGCAGAGCACAGGTAATTCGACTAGGACCCTGAAGATGGGTAAGCTGCCCTGAAATGATGGAAATGTGTTCATCTGAAAAGGACAGAAAGTCAGCAGTTTGCCCAATTCAGCATGCAAGGTAGGGAGACTAAAAACCCCTCCTTTGAAGGCAAGGACTGTAGCTGGGGCCAGAAGTGATGTCACATAAACACTGCTGAGGTCATAGAAGCTTCCCCCTCCTCTCTCTGTTTCCTCATTGCCACAGCCAAGGGGCTCCCACATATCTGCACACACTTAAATACAAAGGCCAGAAGGGTCAGACCACATCCAGGTACATAAAAAAGAGGGGGAAAAGAGGACCATTCAGTATGTAGGATTCACACTGTTATCTCCAGTGCTGAGAAGGGGATACTCATGCTGTAGCTGTGTAGGTGCAATGGGAATGGGGAGGGAGAGAGGAGAGAGCAACAGGGAAGAGGGGAGCTGTTCCTGTTGCTGACTGATTTTACCTTAACACTCGTCCTCATTACTCCACAATCCTTCCTCCCGCTCCTCCTTCACCCCCAAGTCTCTCCCACGACCACCCTCCTCCACCTCTAGCTGACCATGGAATCAGAGGCAGAGAAAACATTCCATCGGTTCGCTGCCTTCGGAGAATCATCAAGCAGTGGCACTGAAATGAACAACAAGAACTTCTCCAAGCTGTGCAAAGACTGTGGCATCATGGATGGCAAGGCGGTCACCTCCACGGATGTGGATATTGTGTTCAGCAAAGTCAAGTGAGGAGCCAAAGATATGGGGGTGGGAGTGAGAGAACATGCAAGGTAGTTGGCCATGGAAGGGTTCATGTGGTGGAACATTTGCAGTGGGCCTACCGAGCACTGCAGGGTACCTGGCACTGTGCTATTCTTAGTCTTTGAGACACTCAGTAATAGGACAGAAGGGCCAAATCTGAGTGAGGAACAAGTTGGACCTTGGAAGGTAATGCATTCATGCTCTAAAGTTTCTGGATTTCTGTCTAACTGACCAGGGCCAAGAACGCCCGGACCATCACATTCCAACAGTTCAAAGAGGCAATGAAGGAACTGGGCCAGAAGCGCTTCAAGGGGAAGAGCCCGGATGAAGTCCTGGAGAACATTTATGGACTCATGGGGGGCAAGGACCCAGCCACCACTGGCACTACTGTGAGTAACAGTCTTCATCCCTACCCCTTGACCCACTTCCCTAAATCCCCATGGTTCCAGTCTGGCCTCGCTAACCCTGCCAACATGTGACTGTAGAGACAGGGCAGAAACAGACTTTGGAGATTGTCTAGATATTCCAGAAGTGAAGAAAATGCGGCTCAGAGAAGGGAGGTGACTTGCCGAAGGTCCATGGCTATTTTAATAATAGATTTAGACTAACTCCCAATTCTCCAGTAGCTGAACCAGGCAATTAGGGCTTGGTGGCTTTTGGAGGACATTAGTGTAGAGGATTTGACACCTGATGCCTACTCCTCTTCCAGTTTTTATTTAGGATTTAATCTCAGGCCTCCTGCCTCTCACCTACTCCCTTTTTCAATTGCCCCCTCTGAACCAAAAGCTCTTTCTACAGTGGATATTTCATAGGGGGTTGGAGGTAAAGTCCTCTGGCAGCAACCTAGTCAAAATAACTCCTCTGGAAACAAAAAAAACCTTCCCTCTGCACACACCACACTCATTCCCACACCACACTCCTCTCTCCCATGAGTGAATGGCTCTTGCCAGAGTTCCTGCCCACAGCTGTATCTGGGCCCTAGGAAAGCAGCACCCATGCCAACAGCAGAGCAAGAGCTCCGAGCACTTGTTCTAAGTATCTCTGGCCATCTTGGGGGAAGGGATGTGACAGTGTAAGGGAAGGAAGGGGGCTCAGATCCGTCCTCTGGCTTGCAGAAAGCAACAACAGTGGGTGCAGTGGACCGTTTGACGGACACCAGCAAGTACACCGGCACCCACAAGGAGCGCTTTGATGAGAGCGGCAAGGGCAAGGGCATTGCGGGACGGGAAGAGATGACTGACAACACAGGCTACGTGAGCGGCTACAAGGGTGCTGGCACCTATGATAAGAAGACCAAGTAGAGAGGAGCTTCATCTTAGCCTGCTAGCCCCCTGACCCTGCATGTTTAACACCAGGGAGCTTGGAAAACAATAAACATCTGTGTGTGTGCAGCAGCTAAAAACTCTGTCTATGAGGGACAACTGGGCCTGCTGATATAGGGAGAGGGAGAAGAGATAGCCGCAGGAGTGTGGGTTCTCAACCACATACCCTTCACTCTGCTTAGCCTTATGCCTCCCAGCCATCAGTTAGCATTCCCCCTCAACAGCTGCTTCCAAGAACAGGGTGGAAGAATATATTTGGAGTTAAGAGATGAACCAGTTGTGGAGGTAAAAGTATTTGCTACCTGTGTTCATACCTGAATGGTATTCACCTCTCCACCTGATCCCCCAAAAGGGTGTAGCAATTCCTGATGTGATGTACTATGAAAAAAGATACCACCTATTAGACCCTTCCCTGTCCCTCCACCTTCCTCATCTGTTGCAATTCAGGTTTTGCTGGGGGAGAAGTAGAAGCCAGCTAACATGGCCTGACTTCTGTTACAAATTTGTTCCAGAGCTGGGGGAAGGGGAGAGTCTATTTTCAACACCAGCCCAGCACTGAGTTTTGCCCCACATCACCTCCATCATGGTGTACATGGGACAGAAGATCTTAATGACTGCTAAGCATAGCCCAGGAAGATGACCAGACGGGGGAGGCTGCCAAGATTCCAAGAGTAGGAGTTCCAGTGCACTGAAGAAAAAGGAATTAAAATCATCACAGAGTCAGATGTGTGTTCTTAACTTTTTGTTTTGAAATGATTATGGATTCGCAGGAAGTTACAAAGAAATAGTACAGAGGGGTCTTGTGTGCCCTTCACCCAGTTTCCCCCAATGGTCACATCTTACATACTCAGATGTGGTTTTAGAAATTTATGTTGGATTAGAGCTGGGCCTGCCTCATTTCCCTGGCTGGTCAGGGGCAGACTCTTGAGTCTGGAGGATTTGGGATGAGCTGCTAGAAGAGAAGGGAAGCAGGAACCTCTGGGGGATGGGTGAGAGACAATACCTTGAAATGCAAGTGTGCCAAGGTAAGAAGACTGGAAGAAAAGTAAGTTGGAAAAAGGAAGGCAAGGTAACTAAGGTGGTTGAGAGTATGGGGGAGAGACAGCCCTATGCTCCATGGTAAGAGGAAGGAGGAGAGGACAGTTATATGAAGGGAGAAGCAATGAATTCACAGAGCAGGCTGGAAACTAGGGGTTGCAGGGAAGTGAGGCTAATATGACTCTAAGGGCCTCAAGGAGATTCCTATATCTAGCCACACCCCCTGTGTAGGTGCGTGAGTGGAGATAATTGTAAGAGAACTTGGGGAGCCTTAGATGAGAAGGGTGTTGGGGATGGGGAAGTGAGACTCGGAGCTGGTGCCTGTTGCCATGGTGTGAGCTGAGGCCCTGGGCCTCCATCCAGGACTTAGGATCTGGCTCAGTGGGTGGACAGTCACTGCCAGCTGAACAGAGTCAGCTTCTTGGGTGGGTTTTACTGTCTCTGGGAGAGGGAGGATGATGAGGAGATGGGAGTGAAGAGGGGGTAAACAAGCTGGAAAGAACCTAGAAGACAGCACCACTTTGCATGGTGATCAAAGCCCTGGACATTTTCCCACCCACCTGGTCTCTTGGGATGGGACCCTGCCTGTCTTGGAAGTCAGGAAGGAAGTCTTGTTACAGGGATCAGAATGTTGGAAATGGAGACAGGCTGGCCTGTGATGGTAAAGGTTGGGGAATGGCTCAGGAACTAAATGCCCTAATAGAGACTAATGATATCTATTGGCTCAGCCTCATACTTGCGGGAGCAGAGTAGGTGGGCCCTTTGGTTGGTTTCAGTGCTATTGTAGTAGCAGCTGATGGGTGGCTGTCAGTGGCTCAGGGAGCAGACTGTGATGGGGAAGGCATCCTTGGTGAGTGTGCAGTATTCATTGTAGTTCTCACAGAAGCTCTCACTTTGCTTGCAGACCTTCTGGATGACTTTCCAAGGGGCATGCATCACATAATGGATCTTTGGGCAATGTGAAGTTTGCATCTTGTCCCGCACATAGGCCATCAGACCATTACAATAGACCTGGAAACCATCTGGGTGGATAACCTTGGGATAGTTGACATTTAAGATACGGAAGTTCCTGATGCCAAACTGCATCTTGATGTCTGTGACCAGAGTCAAACAAGCTAGAACAGCTTGTCCAAGAACAAGCTGGAGGAAAAGGAGCTGGGTCACAGCTGGTGCCATTCCTCCTGCTGGTAGAGTTAAGGTGGCTGGAGGCAGCAGTGGGCCTAGAGTGGCTGTCTGCCCCATCCCAGAGCCTCCAGCATTCCCAACCCAACGGTACTTCACATATCATCTCACCCATAACCCAGTCCTCATGACCCGGAAAGAGAAGACGCTTGCCTAAGTCCACCCAGCCAACCAGCCACCTTCAGCCTTTCCTGCTCCCTTGGTCCACCACAGAATCTCAGCCTCTGCAGAATCTGTGAGCTGCAACATTTGCAGAGTAAGAGCTCTAACTGGTCCTTGGGTAAAAGACCTTGGTTATCCCTGGGTCCCTGGAATCTCTGCTAGTAAAAGATGAAGAGAGGAAAGAAGGAGCAGGCTGACCTGATAATTCTCTGGCAGCTGGGAGGAAGGATGGGAGCTGAAGACAGCTGGTTGGGGACAGGTATTCTTTTTGCCTGAGTCCAAGACAGCCAAGAGATGAGGAGAGGCTAGAAAGGTTTCTGGGTAAAGATCAGTCTGGGAGGAGGGAGTGTCCGCTGAGTTTGATGGGACCCTGTGCTGAGGTGGTTGGATGGGTGGGAGAAAGAGGCATTGCTATCTGGTCTCCTCCTCTATGGTATCATTAGAACACTTAGTTCCAACCTCCTTGCCAAAAGTTCCTAAGTGCCTGGGCTTCCTTTGATGTTTTCTCTGTTCCATAGGCTCTGCTCTAATGGTAAGGTGAGTAGGAAAGCACTATTATGTTTCTGAGGAACAAAGTTCTTCTTATTCCTAACCCTCAGAGAACAGAGGGTTCGCCACTTTGTCATCCCACTCACGGGAGCCCAGCAGGGCATGTACTCAGGGGCCTCCCACCAAAGTGCTGGGCTGAGAATCAAAGACCTCCATGTGGACTCCCCACAGCCCCCATCAGCCTTACTCCTGTCACACCCACAGCCCTCACCTGGGACCTCAGGCCCTGTCAGAGTCTGAGCACTGCTGGATATCTCTGTATGCTGACTCTGAAGCCTGAAACTTGGCAGGTTGGATTTGAAAGTATAGCCTGAACCTGAGGGGCTGTGGATGCCAGAGCCTGGGGTGATCCATTTCTTGCTGTTGGGTTGTCTCTGAGTGGTTTGCCATGCTGGGGAAAGGGCCACACTCCTCTCTTTTTCATCAACATCTCGCCTTTCATCAGAATCAAAGAGCTCCCTGGAGCCTGCTAGCCCTCACCCTTGACTTCCACAAGTCACTCAGCCTTGTCTGTCTGGAGGGTGTCTTCCAGATTTGGAGTTTCCTCTTAGAAGAGCCTTTTCACTCTTGCTGGACAGCAGAAGAGGGGAATCAGAACACAGAAAGCTGAGTGCTCCAAGACCCTCAGTATAGCTCAGGAGGAGGGAGGAAGGCTGCAGAAACAGATTGGTGTTTCTCATGCACAGCCCCCTAAACTGGTACTTTCTGACAGCACAATCTACAGTCCAAAATGGAATCCATGCTCCCCACAACTTGTTTCTCTTCCTGTGTTGTGTGTCTCAGTTTCCCCGGTTATCGATGCAAGAAACCAGAAAGTGATCCTAGACCCTTCCACCTCCCCAATCCCAGCTACTGGGAGACAGTTCTGCATGGTGGTTAAGATCAAGGCTTTTGAGTAAAACAGACCAGGAATTGAAAGCTGGCTCTGCAGCTTACATGCTGCATGCCATCTGTGTTTACTAACCCACTGAAAGCTTCCTTATTTCATCTTTCATGAGGATAGTATTTTTTACCTCACAGCAGTATTAGGATTCACTAAGATGTATATCAATTGTTTTTAGCCCAGTGCCTGGCACATGGTGGGTCTTCAATATGAGCCTGAGTCCATCAGTCTCACAGCCCTGACAATCTTAAATCTTTCCCAAGCCCGTCTCTTCCATTCCTATTTCTTCCTCAGTGGATGCTCTTCTGGACAACACACTTTCTCCAACTCCAGTAAGACTCATATCAAATATTTCTCTTATACAACTTCAAGAGCAAAAAACGTAGTCCCTTCTTTTGTCTAAAACTCTGCAATAGCTTGTTTCTCATGGGGTAGGGGTACCCAATCTTTTGGCTTCCCTCGGCCACATTGAAAAAAATGTCTTGAGTCACATAAATACACTATCAGTAATGATAGCTGATGAGCTTAGAAAATGCAAAAAAAAATTTCATAATGTTTTAAAAAGTTTACAAATTTGTGTTGGCCTGCATTCAAAGCCATCCTGGGCCATATGTGGCCTGTGGGTCATGGGTTGGACGAGCTTGTTGTAGGGTATAGTATAAATTACATCTCACGGGACATAAGACTTCCCATAATCTTGCACCTACCCATGTGTACAACTGCATCTGCATCCGTGCCTGCTTCCCACCTTGTCCCCCACCTCCTCCACGCCCTATCTCCTGCTGTCTCCTCTATCTGGAATGCTGCTGCTGCTCCACTCCTTACCCTCATCTATTCCATGGTGCTAGCTCATAGAAAGACTCAACCCAGAGGTCCCACTTAGAAAGCCTTTGCTTGGCAAACCTCCCCAAGGAAGTGGGCACAGTCAAGCAAGTGAGGATAAAGCCCACATGGGCAGGTGCTTCATCTATATTCTTCAGGATGCTCAACAAGGCAACACTGGGTGGGCACCAATGCAGGGTGGTGCCTGAGCCTGGCTGACTCAAGCCTTTGCTTTGAGGAAGCCAACCACATTGTCATCCCTGCCTTGAATCATGCCACTTCTTCCCTGGACCTCAACACTGCAGCTTCCTTGGGAATAGAAAGGGACTTTTTATACCTTTTGGCCTTCCTCTTCCCTCACTCCCCACCCGCTCATCACCGCTCTTCACTCCCCCGACCTGCCACCACTCACTTTGACATACGCAATTACAGAAACTGAACAGCACATTATAGAAGAATGCATTCAGGACTTAAATGATTTAATAATGATGAGTCTTTTGGTTACCAACTACAATTCTGGTGATCTGTTCCCTAAAATCCTATCCTAGAGGTGCTGATGCATAAGATTACTTCATCCATTCTGGCATCCTCATCATGGTTTCATGTGCTTCCCAAGCCTGAGATTTGTGGGATTGTTACCCCATTACACTGGGTTTTACATACACAAGTATTACCTTAGGAATGAAAAACTATGTTCTAGAGGGACGGTGGCTTGCTCAAGGTCATATGTCTAATTCAGTAGTTCCAGGGACAGTTTGATAATGTCCAGAGACATTTTTGGTTGTTACAACCAGGAGTTGCTACTGGCCTGCAGCCAGGGATATTACTCCACATCCCACATTTCACAGGACAGCTCCCGTAACAAAGAGTTATCCAGACCAAGATGTAAATAACACTGAGGTTGAGAAGCCCTGGTCTAAATAATTAGCTAATCAAATTTCTTAACAAAAGCAGACTTACTTGTGTCTTATGTATTAAAAAGAATTGACAAACATCTAGGACTTCAAAATATTTTGTTAAACAGATTTTGATTGTGATGGTGCTGATTCTACCAGCAAAATGTGTATTGGTAGTTTACCAATGAAACAATAATGGAGTCGCTTTTTCTGTAAAGATGACCCTCTGCATGTAATCATTTACACATTCTCTCCCTGCCCTCCCCAGTGGGAAGCATTTGCAGAACAACCAGCTAGGGTGGCAGGTGTAAAAGTGACTCCTGAGACTAAGGAGAACCCCAAAATTTTGCCATGATCTCAGTGGCATTACTTTTGCCCTGTCCAATTCAAGTTCCTCAAATAATATACTGTGTCATGGACAGTTCCTGGGCTGTCCTTGAACCTGAAGGATTGCCTCAGCCATCTCAACCTTCTTCCCATAGCGTCACCTCAAACCCAGGGCTGAAGCCCAGGAGCTGCACTGTCAGTTCCTCATCTGCTAACCACCTCTGTGAGTTGGCAGCAATCCCACCTTCGACTGGGATCATTCAGGAGCAGATGGAATGCCTTCTAAAAGTTGAATCAGGATCACTTATATGCAAGGTACTATGCTATGTACTGTGAAATGTGCAAAAGAAGTGTAACAGGAGATCCTCGTCTTATGGGAATTGACAGTATAAGAGAAAAATAATACATACGTATGAAGAAATAACAATTGTTTCAAGGCAGAAACGTATACATTCTGAAGTCAGTAAATGCTGTAGGAATTTAGAGGTGAGAAAGATGTCTCTGAATTGGGAGGGTGAGAGAAAGGTACCCTGAAGGGTCACCCTGGCTTGGGAATGGGTCTCATGGTGAAGTTAGAAGTTAAGTGGAGATAAAGAGGGTTATGGAAGACATGCTTGAGAAATGGGGGGAAACCAGTCTGGCTGGGGTTGAGGCACTCAGTGAGAGAAAAGTCAGAGATAAAGTCGGAAAGACAGGTTTGCCCTGATTACCAGGCTATGGAAGTGATACTTACTCCGTACATAAATGGGGAGCTGGGTGGGCTTGAGAGACAAGGCCCCAGTGAAGCCTCTCACCCCCAAATCAGTTTCCTCTGTCCCCCGTCCTGGCTTGTCTAAAGCCATTGGCCTGTGAGCCAAGGATTCCAAACTTCTGTCAGTGCTACCTCCTCCTGACCCACAGCTGTTCCAGGAAAGGTCATGGGAATTCAAGGACCTGAAGCAAGTCCCACATCTGACCTCAACTTGTGTGTGTTTCACTTTCTCAGTCTACAAAAATGAGCCCATTACCTTTGTTTATCAAAGGATCAACAAAATTAGGATAACAGAACTTGGATCTGCTCTTGCTCGGAGGGAAACTTTCATGGGCTTTCCATTGGTATCCAGAGGCTGTGTGGAACTCCGGAAGACAGAGAGGCTTGGCTCTGAAGGGTAGGCACCAATCCAGGCCCGGCCCTCCTCCCTCCCTTCCCCCTTCACTCCCTCCCAGCCAGGCAAGAGGAAGCAGCAGCTGTTGTCCTGTGGGGAAGACAGGCAGAAGTCCACCTGGCACTGTTGGGATTCTCACAACACCCGCCCCAATTTAAACACACACACACACACACACACATTCACACAGCAGCAGCCCAGGGAGAAGTTGGGCCAACAGCGGTGACTTTGGTGATAGAGTGAGAAGAAAGCAAGGCAGAGATTGCTGGTATAAGGGACTTTTTCTTTTCTTCTGTCTTTTCTCCTACCATTTTGTCTTCTGCTCTTGCCCTCTCTCTTTCTTCCTCCTGTGAAACTCCTGAACCAGTATCTGGCCTGATGCCTGAATCTTTTTGTTCTTCCTAACCTTATCCCCCTTCCTCCATCTTTTTCTGTTGCCCCATGAATGTGGTGAAGGCAAAATTATCCTACCAAGTGCAAGGTGAAGCAGATCTTGGAAGCTGGATGGTTTAGGCACACAAACAAAACCACCTCCCTTATCTAAATAATTGAGGCAAAGTAAAGGTTTTGACTGAATTGCACATGTGGTAGGTTCCACTCTATTTCGATTTTCATGTGCAAACTTAAACCTTTCCTCTCTTTTCCCTTTGACCTGAGGCAGTAGGGCCATGTTTATTTTGCTTTCACACAGTCCTAGGCAGCCTTCTATACAGCCCAGCATACTGGAGTTGAAGAGCAAACTAGGATAATTATAATGACAGGAAAACACAAGTGCAGAGGGAAGTTAAAATCCTGGCTTGAAAACATCTCACTCTAGGATAAGAAGTGGAAAGGAGGCCAAGCTAGGATTCAGATGAGCTAGCAGCCTCCCACCCAGCCTCCACTCAAGGGCTGGACTGACCTGTGCCGATACACATTGATACACAGTCTGCTTTAAAACATGGCTTTTATCTCCTGACATTCATGTTTCTGCAGCAGCAGGAGCATAATTCTCTATCCAGAAGTTCAGCCTGCAAAGCTTCAGACACCTTAACAAAGAAGTGAACAGCTGTTCCCCCAGCCAAGGCCTTGCTGAGGGCAAACCAGAAGAGCCAGAGGCCTGTGTGAACTTGTTCTCGATTCTCTTTTGCCACCTAGTGGCACATCTCATCTCCAGCATCACTTTTTCTTCTAAAGATTCTGACCCGCAACCCACAGCTGTGCTGTCCATCTACTGAGATAATGTCCTCCTGGCGTCAAAAC